CCCATCCCGTCTTGCCCCTCCCCTTTTCCCTCTCCCCACTGGTGACCACTAGTGGTTTGTTCTGTCTTTCAGTCTGTTTGTGTTTTGTAAAGTCATAGCATTTTTAGCTCTGCAGCAGTGTTCTTTGACCATTGTCAGGACTCCAAGTATTGTTTACACTGAGTGCTGGGCTCGCAGTGAAGGTGTTTAGCTATGTTAATTACTGACACAAACATGTTATCATGTTTAGAAATCAACCCCAAATATCAAGAAATCAGGGTCAAACCATGTGGGTTCTTATTCTAAAATTTCTCTAAAACTCTTACTATTCAAGGTGGTCTACAGATCACCAGGGAGCTTGCTAGACATGTGGAATCTTGAACCTGCTCCATACTCACTAGATCAGAGCCTCCTTTTTCACAAGATCTCATGGAATCCATCTGCACAGTCAAATTTGAGAAACGTAGCATATTTCATCAGCCATGACCAATCTTCCAGCAAAAACTATACTCTTGTTTAATGTTACAGTTTAGAAAGTTGCTTTACATAGATGATTTCATTTAAATTATTTTCATCCCAGCCACAATATAAAATTATTCATATTCAATGCTGAAACTGAAGTCCAGGAAGGTGACAAACTTGCCTAAAATCATATGTTTAGAGCCAGGTGAACCCCAACTTCAGTCTCAGTGGATGATAGAATACTTTTTGATTATTAATAGTGTGCTGAGTGTAGCATTAGTATGCATGGTGATTTTAGGTATAAAAATATAATGAACACACTAACCAGGAGTGGCATTTCAATTATTCTTGTTTGAGAAGGTTTTCTAAGTGAATTCGGATGTAGTGTAGACATGACTAAAGTTTTGAGCGTGGTCCCTCCAAGCTCCAGGTTCAGGGAACACTTGTCTACTTTATATTATAGATGTTATCCCTCTTTCATTTACAGCAATGTCAAAACTTTGATTTTAGTGATAATTTATAATGAGTAATTTTTGTTTACTACAAACATCTAGTGCATTGTGTTGGTACACAGAAAAAGTAAAAATTCTTCGTGAATATTTCTCTGAATAGTATTAGCATGTAAAAGTATTTTCCCTAATCCCTAATCCAGCGTTATGCCTTACTATAAACAGAAATGAGGTGACCAGTATAACTCAAACCTATTCAGAAAGCTTAAGAGCCATCTTAAAATGTTTGTTGATAGAATTACAAATGCACTATTTTGGATAAGATTTTTAAGTGTCCACTGTGTAAGTCTTCATAAATAAAAATAAATGTAAAATGATAAGTACACACTCTTATTGTCTAACCCCGACAGAAAAAGGAACTATAATTTCCAATTCAATGTGGACAAGGAGCCTTGCAGAGAGAAGGGTCTCATAGATTCATATATTACTTGACTGCACTAGATTTTTTTGTTTGTTTGTAAAGAAGGGAAGGAAAAATATTTATATATTTTTTATAAGCCAAATTGCTCAACTAAGAGATTTAATTAACAAGGTTCCAGCAAGGGCCCTGGCTAATTCTAATGATGTGATTGCATTCTGTACTGTAACCTCAAAGGCAAACAGTTCTCCAGTGTCTCTTTGGTGCTTTCATGTCCTCCGTGTAAATACATACAGGCCCCAAGATGGTAAGTTGTTTTGCTAAAGAACCTCTTTACACATCTGGAATATAACCTCAAGATTTGTTTTAAAACCATGGCTTATAAAATATGTTTGGACTTGGATTGCATGGAGTCATAAACACGTTGAATGTAGGGAACAGTGTCAGTTTATAAATGTGGCCTGTTTTTAAGTTGTGAGGTTGTTGCAGCAAAAACAGAAATGAGTGAACAGCCTTTGGCACGTACCAGCCAAACAAGCCTACAAGAGTTAAACAATCTTCATTATTCTTTAGCTGTTACTACTAACAAACACTTGTAACTGGACTTGTCCTTCACAGAGCTCATTACTCTGACTCCATACAGGTTACACTCTGCACCTAGCATACTTTTCCCCCTACACTTGTGTGTGTGTGCGTGCGTGCGTGCGTGCGTTAGTTGCTCAGTCGTGTCTGACTCTTTGCGACCTCACGGAATGTAGCCCCTCCAGGCTTCTCTGTCTGTGGAATTCTCTAGGCAAGAATACTGGAGTGGATTGCCATTCCCTTCTCCAAATGTAAACCAGCTGCTGCTAAATCGTTTCAGTCGTGTCCAACTCTGTGCGACCCCATAGACGGCAGCCCACCAGGCTCCTCTGTGCCTGGGATTCTCCAGGCAAGAATACTGGAGTGGGTTGCCATTTCCTTCTCCAACACTCTCTTGTAGCATTCTGCATTTAAGAAAAAAGGTCATGGGCCAATAACTTCAGGGAGACAAGTCCTGGTTGCTGAATTGTCTGATGCCAGCTGTGGCCATTCTGAAACTTTGCAAGAGGAAAAAAAAATGCAAGACCTTCTAAAGGATATAAAACCTCTCCCTCTTCCTGAGAAGGACAGGGCACAGTTCTTGAGGTGCTACCCTGCTGTGCTTCCCTTTGGCCAGGCAAAAATAATAAAGCTGCTCTTTTCTATTTCTTCCAAACTCTTTCTCTGTATTTCTTTTTGGCATTGGTGGACAGGGAGCCACGATTTTGGTAACAAAGTCATTAGTTTTGTTTTTGTTCCTCCCATTGGTCCTTTCTTCTTTGTTCTTCCAAACTCTATCTGCTGTTGTTATTTCTGGGGTTTTAGTCTATTTGCCCTCCATGGTTGCTTCCAACATGCTTGGCCTTTTCTCATCCAAACTGCACATAGATGTTTCTCCCATATAACCACTGTGACTGCAACACAAGTCCAAGATGTCTCTATGTTTATTGTTTGCTTCACAGGCTTACTCCTAAACTCCTGGGCTGTGGGAGAGGGAGGAGAGGAACAGGAGATCCAGTTAGTCTGGCCTCTGTGTGTCACTTCACCCCATGGGATGCAGCTTATGGCTCCAAAAAATCAATGACCCACACTGTTTGCTATGATCCGTGTTTTGCTCTAAGCCATGATAATACCCCAAATAAGATTACAGCATTTTATACTTTCTGCCTTTAAAGACAGTACTCCATTTACTTTCTGCATACAGTGTATCAAACCAAATGACATGTAATAGAAACAAAAGGAGGCCAATCCTACAGTGAAAGGAGATGCTCATATCCACCCGCGACTTGGTATATGTGGAGGAGTTATGTGGACTATAGGCAGCTCTTGAAACACAAGCAAGGATCTTAGTTGTGGCCTGTAGGATCTAGTTCCCTGACCAGGGATCGATCCTGGGCCCCCTGCATAGAGGGGGCCCATTGGGAGCGTAGAGTCTTAGCCTGCAGGAAATCCCCTGCATTTTGTCTGCAGTAGGAAAAAAACAAACAAAACCCTGTTAAAAATAGTTCCAGAATAGAGTCAGTTGGAGAAAGAATAGTATCAAATGTGTGGCAATGCATAAAAAACTGACATACCAGTAAAGCATTTAATTGGAGATACAACACATTTTATTCAGTAATCTGCCATATTATCCTTGAAACCATTAATAATCGCTCAATCACAAAAGAAGCAGTGAGAAAGACCCGGATTTTTGTGCAGAAGTCACTCTCCACCAAAAGCAATTCAGTCTACCATCTTTCATGGCTGTGGTTTTACTTGGAGCCTCTTTTTTGGGGGGAGCGGGGAGAGGGATCTGTTTCTCACAAATATTAGGTTTAAAACAAATAACATGACGTACTGTGTCATGGACCAAAAAAACAGGTCTAGTTCTAGTGAACCTGCAAGCAAGGGGGCCTTCAGGAATGGAACCCTACGATCTCCTAGAGGTGGCAGTCAATAACCCTTCTGCCCCAACCAGTTAGTAGTTATAAGAGATAGCCAGGTGAATGAGCGAGGCAGTCATTAGTTGGAGAACCATGAGCTAGACTCTCTAGAACAGGAATGGCTGAGTGAGTCAGAATGGGAAGGACACATCTACAGAGTCTGAAGAAAAGTAATTAAGGATAATGTGGAAAAGATACATTGAAGGAGACCCACAGAAAGATGGGAGTCAAGGGCAGTCCTCTGCTTTTCTCTTGAGACAGGTGTACACTGAACAGGTCCTGCAGTTTTTAGATAAAAATTGGAATGCTGCTGAACCTAGTGCAAAGTGAAATCAGAGTAAACACTGTGTGAGGCAGTGGGACAGGTGTTAGGGTTAAAAAAGCAGCTGTCTCAGCTGCGGTGCTGACCTGAAAGTGGCTGTCAGACCCTGCACAGTGCAGAGCGCTGTGTCGGAGGGCCCAAGTGAAAGGAGACACCGCTTCGGGCTGGGAGGGCAGAAAAGGCATTCTCCAGTCCTTTCTTCTGGATTCCTAGCATGTCCCGTGTCACTGCTCAGCCCACCCCATTCCAGGCACTTGTTTGTCTTATCTTTCTCTGTAATGTGAAATGGAAGCCTGAGAGAAGATCCTGCCTCACAGATGTCTAATAACTGTGGGTGGAAGTGATGTGCTGTGGAGGCCTCACTCTATTTTGGACCAAGTGGGTAGAAGAAAATTGGAGGAAAGGAGAGCTGATAAGATTGTGGTGCTAAGGGTAAGGTGTTTTAATCAGAAGGTGTGAGCAAAGGTATCCCAAACTTAGTATGTGGCTTAAAGCAGGTGACAGGGAGAATGTCAGTGCAGCCAAGGACCGCAGGAAGGTCCTTAGGAGTGCTCTGCCAAATACGTTAGTCTGCGTAATTGGAAAGCTAAAATCTTTTCCTACGATCTACTTAACTTTAACTAAAGCTGATGTAGGGATCATGAATAACTCGAGGGCCTTAACTTTCTAGAAAGTAGGAAGATCAAGTAAACATAGCACCCCTCAAAAAAGATGAGGCTGAATATCAAAGTGTAGAGAAAGCTTTTCAATATCTTCTCTTCACCCCCTAGGAACTTTATATGCTATATTTTCTCTCTTTTTTTTTTAAATTGAAGTATAGTTGGTTAAAAATATTATATTAGTTTCAAGTGTACAATAAAGTGTTTCAGTTTTTTTGGATATCTTTTTTAAGTTTGTTTTTGGCGTTTTGGTCTAAAAGCAATCAAGTAATAGAGAGATGCCATCCCGAAAAGGAACGTCTGTAGGAACCACAGCAGTTGGGTCCAGGTGTTTGTGATGCCTTTCGACCTAAAAAGAGAAAAGAGAAAAGTCTATCCACCAGAATCTTTAAGTGTTATGGTTTCACATGAGTCAGTTTTTAAAAATGTATTACTTCTACCTACTTTCATTGGGTTTATTTTGCACTTTCCTCCCACTTATTAACTTGAATGGTTAGTTCATTTAGTTTTTCTTATGCATGTATGAGGGTACACCCCTCCCTGAGAAAGTCTGGCTACTGCCTAGGGGATGATATTATGAAACTATTTCTCACATGATTTGATGAGCATATAGGGTTAAAAAATCACTGGGAGGGCTTCACAGCAAGTGTTTTGAAGACAGATTATATATAAATCCTAGCTTGGGCTTCCCTGGTGGCTCAGTGAGGCCAGTGCAGGAGACCCGGGTTCCATCCCTGGGTCGGGAAGATTCCCTGGAGAAGGAAATGGCAACTCACTCCAGGATTCTTGCCTGGAAAATCCCCTGGACAGAGGAGCCTGGCGGGCTACCATCTGTGGAGTAGCAAAAAGAGTCGGACACAATTTAGGAACTCAACAACAACAAAAAAATCCTAGCTTGGCCAACTACCAGCATGACCTTGGGCAAGTCACTCACTCACCCTCAGTTTCCTCATCTAAAAAAACAAGAAGAACAGTATTTATCTCACCTTGAGATAAGTTACACAAAGTGGTTAGTGAAGGGCTTGGCACATGGAAATAATAAATACTGTTTATACACCCATTCAAACTAAACTGCTTAACACCAAGGTCAAAAGAAAATGGCCCAGTTCAAGTGACTGACTTGCTACAGTTTCATCTGTATATAAATAAGTCTCATATATTTTAAAAAATAGATGCAAAAACAATATAATTTTCTATACTAACAGATTAAAGGAAAAAATTGTATGATCATAAAAAATGCAGAAAAAGCATTTGATAAATTTCAACATCCACTCTTAATACAAGTTCTTAGAAAACTCAGACAACAGAACTTTAATCTGATAGATCTATACAATATACAACTCTAGAAGAAACATGAGGCAGAGTGTTGAAAGTTTACAAGGCCAGGATGCCTACTGTTACCACTTTGAGTTGACAGTGAACTGGGTTACTGAGAGGGTAACAGGGAGGAAGGTCAGGGGTCTCCAAACAGAGGAAATAGGCTACAAGTGTCAGACATTTTTTCTCTCTCTCTTAAGTGGCCAGGAAACAAACTACTAGTGTTATATTTTTTTCCCCTTCTCTATACAAATTTAAAAAGGTTTCTCTTAAAATTCTGTGTTGCCATGATGACACCTGGTTCCACCTGAACTTAACTGTTCTCAAACCTTGAGGTAACCAATGCATTTTTCTGATGGAAATGTTTGTCTTAAGCTATGTTAATGAACAATGTATTTACCCTAGACTGTCTTTCTTCAAGTCAGTTCTGCTTAAGACTCAGAACTGATAGTTCAGTTGCTCAGTCATGTCCGACTCTTTGCAACCCCATGGACTGCTGCATGCCAGGCCTCCCTGTCGATCACCAACTCCCGGAGTTTATTCAAACTCATGTCCGTTGAGTCGGTGATGCCATCCAACTATCTCATCCTCAGTCGTCCCCTTCTCCCCCTGCCTTCAATCTTTTCCAGCATCAGGGTCTTTTCAAATGAGTCAGTTCTTCATCAGGTGGCCAAAGTATTAGAGTTTCAGCTTCAACATCAGTCCTTCCAGTGTATTCAGGACTGATTTCCTTTAGATTGACTGGTTGGATCTCCTTGCTGTCTAAGGGACTCTCAAAGAATCTTCTCCAACACCATATTTCAAAAGCATCAATTCTTCAGTGCTCAGCTTTCTTTATAGTCCAACTCTCACATCTATATATGACTACTGGAAAACCATAGTCTTGACTAGACAGACCTTTGTTGGCAAAGTAATGTCTCTGCTTTTTAATATGCTGTCTAGGTTGGTCATACCTTTTCTTCCAAGGAGCAAGCGTCTTTTAATTTCATGGCTGCAATCACCATCTGCAGTGATTTTGGAGCCCCCCAAAATAAAGTCTGTCACTGTTTCCACTGTTTCCCCATCTGTTTGCTATGAAGTGATGGGACCAGATGAAAAAGTTGGCTTAAAACTCAACATTCAGAAACATTCAGAAAACTAAGATCATGGCATCTGGTTCCATAACCGATAAGGGCTCAACAAACCTGTATGTTTTACTCATACACTGTTGTCCTAATCTATGTTAATGAAACTATGTATTTACTTGGAAACCTGTCTTTTCAAGATTCATGTCAATCGGTTTATGGCCTGGGATGACTCACCTGGTGCCAATGTTATCTCAAAATGCATGTTGTGGGTGAGGGGCTTTGGTGCCACTCTGAGTTTTGAGACATCTCCTTTCTCTAATTAACAGCTTGTTAATAGGTATATGGGCCTCCCTGGTGGCTCAGAGGTTAAAGCATCTGCCTCCAATGCAGGAGACCCGGGTTCGATCCCTGGGTCGGGAAGATCCCCTGGAGAAGGAAATGGTAACCCACTCCAGTATTCTTGCCTGGAGAATCCCATGGACTGAGGAGCCTGGTAGGCTACAGTCCACGGGGTCACAAAGAGTCGGACACGACTGAGCGACTTTACTTTCACTTTTGTTTTCAATAGGTATATAACTTACTGCTAAAGGCTAGCAATAGCCTTTCTGCCTCCTTCTGATGTTTATATCAGAAGCTTTCTCTATCTCTTTTATACTTTAACAAAACTTTATTACACAAAAATAAAGCCTCTGAGCAATCAAGCCTTATCACTGGCTCCAGACTGAATTCCTACCCTCCGGAAACTGAGAATCCCAGCATCTCTTCACTACTCAGCAACAACCTTTCATTACTAGCTAGTGCAATGAAGGAAACTTAAATATAAGGTATATGGAGTTGAAAGGAAGAAATAAAACTGGGTACCTAGAAAATGTAAAGGAATCTTTTAAATCATTAATGTTGAACAATGAGAACTATTAGAACTCAAAAATGAATTTACCAAGGTCACTGGGTGTGAGGTCAGTAGATAAGCATCAACTATATTCATAGATTCTACCACCAAACAATAAAAAAGTGAAATATATATCACAGTGGGTCAGGACATACAAGAAATTCATTCACACAGAATTATTTATAGTAGTTTAGAAAAGCTAGAGGTTTAAAAGTCCATCAGAAGGAAGATTTGTTAAATACATTAGGACACATCTATATATTATGTACTAATGAAATGAATGAGTTCAATTTACAGGTATAGACATGGGAAAATAGGTATATATGACAATAGAAAAAATTATAGAAGAGTTTGTGTCTATTATGTATATATATATGGCAGCTATAAAGTCAAACATCTAGTCCAATCTTATGTCTAGTTAAATAGAATTCATCAATTCCTTTCTATTGCTGGACAGTGGAATTTGGGGTCGAGGGCTACAAATGTTCTGCATGTCTTCATGATTCTTCTTTTTTTTTTAATTGGAGAAAAACTGCTTTATTCTGCCTTACAACAACACATTTAGTGATTTTTTTCATTTAAATGTATTCATTCATTCATAAAAGGAATATTCATTCTGATTTACAGTGACCAATGATATACTGCAATATGTTAGTCCATAAATAAATGATTTCAGGAACATGAGAACAGTGCCCTAACCTCTCTATGCCTGTTCTCCTGCTTCCCCTCAGAGAACTGGAGAGCTGGATGTTCAATTCGAGTCTTTTTGTTTTCATTAGAGGCTTCATATGCAAATTGCAAAATAGGTGTCATGTACTCCAACACTGTAATTTGGAGGGCTGGACTGCACACCTCCAAGCTGAGCTCTCATTGAGAAGTGAAGAGGCTTTCAGAAAGAGGTACTGGTGCTGTGGCACCTCCTATCACAAGTCACCCTGAAAAGCAGCTTCAAAAGAACCATTCAGAGAGCCTGACAAGAGTCCCCTGTGATTTGGGGGAGGGTTAACATCTGACTCACAAGTTTAAATACCAGTAGAGCTGCCTGATAGGATACATGGCTGCGCAGGAAACGCACACACCTGCAGATTTATCCCAATGGAGGGATAAGGAAGCTGTCATTGTGAGCCTTACAGGTCTTGTGGAAGGGCACTGGTATGCATGGGCTTAAAAGCGACCCTGCCACAGAGGCCTAACTAAAGGGCAGAAGAAACCTAAATAAGAGGAAAATATCATCAACCCTAAGGGGAAACTGTTAAGTGTTAAGTGACATGCTGACTAAGGTTGAAAGAACCATCAAGGGAACTGTGGAAGGGAGATCCCTGGTGATGGGTGGTTTCTCAAAAATCCACCAGGGACCCTTTGGAGAGAAAGAATCAACAATGGGTATGCAACTTCCACATCACCCAGTTGCCTGATCACAAGGCAGATCATACCCTGCTTCCTTTACATATACTTCCAGCACCCCAAGGGGCCATAAACAACTACTGCTAGTGAGCAAGGAACAAAGTTAGAATGAGAGTGAAGACGTTAATTACACCGTCTTCCCCATGGCAGCCTGCTGAGCCTTGGCTGAAGAACAGATGTACTGAATTTGATAAAAGTTCATAGTTTTAATAACTTTAAAACTTGACTTGAAAATATGAGATAGTGACTGAACAATCTATGGACCTGCTTTAGATTTTATCCAGGGCTAGGGTGGGAGGCAGACAATAATCCATGGGGGATTAGAGAGAGGTTAAAAAAATAAAGCTGCTTTATGCTCCTCCCCCAGAAAGTCCAGCTTGTTTAGTAAAACAGAAGGTGGAGTAACATGTATTTAAGTCAGTTAGCAGTTGTTTGGCATCGTGTGCACCCAAGAAATATTAATTATTTTTATTATTAAAACATAATAAAGTATCTTATTTTCCACTTTTAGAAGTAATACCACAAAAACAGAGGTGGTAATTAATCTTGAGCCAAAGAAAAAAACTCAATTGTAAAGTAATCTGGCATTACTATAACCATTTACTTTCTGTGTATGCTTACATAAAGTCTAAATGTAGAGAAAAGCTTTTTCTAGTTTTCTCACATTTATTATTTACACTGGCATTTGCTGAGTAGGGCCTAGTCACAGGACTTTTAGCTTTCATTGCATCCCAGAATCATCTACAGAACTTGAAAAAAAATAACATATTCCTGTGCCTGAAGCAAGGCCTACCAGATTAGGATCTCTGGGTCTGGAAATCAAAGAGGTTAATTTTAAGAAAGCTCCTCAGGTGATTAGGTTGCAAAACTAAGGGGTTGAGAGTCATTGGGCTAGGTCAATATAGCTCTTTTTCAAAATAGAAGGCAGCCTCCTACTCTTTCCTTCTAGTTGGGGCTACAGGGAGATTTTAGAAAAAAAGAAAAAAATTATCTAAATTAAATGACTAAATAATTGACTCATTAATACAAATGAAATGAATTCATTCATTAACTATTTACTGAGTATTGCCTCTGAGTACTGAGTGAAGCTCAGTATTACGTGTGGGACTTCAACTCTATCCTGAGAGTGTTCTCAGCCTACAAGTGCATGAATAATTCAAATGTGGCTACTTTTAACTTATATTAGATACCAAAGGAAAAGCAACAAAGAGCTATTAAAACACTTACTTGCACAATACAATGGCAAACAAGGACTCTCCTACGTGAATCATCCAGGAAAGCCAATATCTGAAACAAAAGTCAGCCTAGTTTAAGGTGATGGTCTTCTGCTCATGAGATCTAACAGAAAAACCTCCAAAACAAAGGTGCTTTAATATGAACAAGCACCACTTTCAGAAGGCAACCATGGCCCTTCCAGGGAGACAGGAGCTGTGGGGACCACATCCCATTTCTGGAGCTCTACTTACCCACCATGCACGAGGGTATGATGATGCTTCAGTAAGTACTGAGTGAAGGGGCCCAGGGGTCCCAGGTTCTGATAAGGAATACTCTCAGGCCAGAAGACCATCCACTGAAAGAGAACCAGAGTGCTTTTAGATCACTTAAATGTATTTTTAACCAAGGCTATGAAATAATCCTGATTCTTCAGGAACAAATAACAGACAAAAGCAATTCTGAACCAAGCCATATGGGCTTCAATTCTTGAATTCTATTTTTTAAAAGCCATTCCAGTGGAAGGTTTCTGCCAAGGAAACTATGTGGTTATCAGACTTAGTGCCCAGATTGCCAAGGAAACTATGTGGTTATCAGACTTAGTGCCCAGATTAGCTGACTTCTGTTCTTACTGAATTCCACAATGTTGTAGTCCGCAACCCACTGTTTTGGGTATCTTCTTGCGGCTCAGCTGGTAAAGAATCCGCCTGCAATGCAGGAGACCTTGGTTCAATTCCTGGTTTGGGAAGATTCCCTGGAGAAGGGAAAGGCTACCCTCTCCCGTATTCTGGCCTGGAGAATTCCATAGACTGTGTATAGTCCATGGGGTGGCAAAGACTCCGACACGACTGAGCGACTTTCACTGCATTTAAATTAATTCTGTCTCTCAAAAAAAAAGTTCCTGCTCCTCTCGGTAGAGATTGTCTTCTTGATTTTACATCTATGTCATAATATGCACATCCTCTCTATCCCTTCTTACCAATTAAATTCTACCCAACCTTTAGGTTTATCCCCATTTTCCAAGCGATTCCAACTGCCTCAAACATTCTGCTTTGGAAGCCCTATCTTGACTTGGCAGGCCTAGAACTGTCAACTTGGCCTCTTTCTCCTCTAGTTGTACTCAGACTTGAATAAGTCCTACTAACCCTGGAGACGCAAAGGCAGGAACATTTCCAAGCGAAAACCTGAGAAGCCCACCGAACTTCCGCTTACGCCAATTACCTAGGCAACCGCCAAACGCGCAAGCGCAAGACCTCCCTCCTCCCCCCATCCCCAGTGCCCCTCGCTCTACGGGAGCCTGGCGGGCCAAAACAAAAGCGCCGCGCCCTACTACACCTTACCCCGAAATATCCCAGCACCAAGACCGTGACCAGCGACGGCAGGGGTCTGGCTACACGGAAGTAGGAGGCAGCAGCCCCGCTAGCCTCCGACTTCGCTGCCATTTTGAAAGACCTAGTCACCTAGTCATGGGGTGGGGAGGGAAAGCGTGGGCAGCTGGTTTCTCAAGATCTCAACACAGGCGAAATGCGCAGACAGACGAGTGCGCCTGCGTTTTCTTCCTGGGTCTAGTCCCCTGGCTCAGAGCTCGCGAGAGCCGCGAATGCGCCTGCCGCCACTCCATGGCTCCAGGTGGGATCTTGCAGCTCCAGGCAGCACTCCAGCCCCTCACCTAGCCTTCCTCGGGGCCCACTGTCCTTACTGTGTAATAGCCAAAACAGAGGATGATGACAGTAACCCAGAACAGACTGCTCCTCCGGAAGTAGGTCTCATTTTCTCTTGCGTTCCCCACCGCAGCAGCGCACATCCTGGGATGCCCTGCAGGTCACCCGCAGTGCGCGGGGAGATAAAGACAAGGCTGGGGCGGGGCCACGGCAAAAGCTCCTCCCTTCTCTCCCCTAAAGGAGAAGAGTCTGTGGGCTTGAAACTTGGAAAGAGTTCCCACCCACTCTGGCCTGATGGGCTGGTCATCATCTTGCAGGAGAGACCGCCCCCCCCCCCCCCCCGCCCCCAGCCCCGAGTTTGTGGAGCTTAAGATAATGGTGTTGGAATAGATGGTGCGTTATGCATGCGATAATTATGGGTCTAGTTTTTTTTTTTTTGTCAACTTTTTATTTTGTATTGGGGTATATATAGCTGAGTAACAATGTTGTGATACTTTCGGGTGTTCTCTAAGTCTGTGAATCTCATTCTGTTTTGTAAGTTCGTGTATATCATTTCTTTTTAGATTCCACATATAAGTGATGTACAGTGATATTTTTCCCTCTCTGACTTACTTCACTCAGTATGACAATCTGTAAGTCCGTCCATGTTGCTGCAAATGGCATTATTTCATTCTTTTTAATGACTGAGTGACATTCCACTGTATATATGTACATCTTCATCCTTCCTCTCTAGATGGACATTTAGATTGCTTCCATGTCTTGGCTATTGTAAATGGTGCTGCAGGGAATATTGGGGTGCATGTATCCTTTTGGATCATGTTTTTCTCCAGATACATGCTGGAGTGGGATTGAGTCATATGGTAGCTCTGCTGCTGCTGCTGCTAAATTGCTTCAGTCTTGTCTGACTCTCTGCGACCCCATAGATGGCAGCCCACCAGGCTCCCCCATCCCTGGGATTCTCCAGGCAAGAACACTGGAGTGGGTTGCCATTTCCTTCTCCATGGTAGCACTAGTTGTAGATTTTTTTAAGGAACCTCCATACTGTTCTTCATAGTGGCTGTACCAATTTACATCCCCTCCAACAGTGTGGGAGGATTCCCTTCTCTCCACACCCTTACCAGCATTTATTGTTTGTGGGTTTTTGATGATTGCCATTCTGGCTGGTGTGAGGTGATATCTCATTGTAGTTTTGATTGCATTTCTCTAATCGATTAGGTATGTTGAACATTTTTTCATGTGCCTCTTGGCCAACTGTATCTCCTCTTTGGAGAAATGTCTATTCAGGTCTTCTGTCCACTAGTTAATTGGGTTTGTTTTGAAGCTGTTTGTAAATTTTGGAGACTAATCCCCTGTTGGTCACATCATTTGCAAATATTTTCTCCCAATCTGTAGGTTGTCTTTTTATTTTGTTTATTGTTTCGTTTGTTATGCAGAAGTTTTTCAATAGGTCGCATTTGTTTATTTTTGTTTTTATTTCCATTATTCCAAGAGATGGATTGAGAAAGATATTGCTGCAATTTGTGTCAGAGTGTTCTGCCTGTTTTCCTCTAGAAGTTTTATAGTGTCTGGTCTCACATTTAGGTCTTTAATCTATTTTGAGCTTATTTTTGTGTATGGTGTTCGAGAATGATGTAATTTTTTTTTTTTAACATGTAACTGTCCAGTTTTCTCAGCATCATTTGTTGAAAAGACTGTCTTTCCAACGTTGTGTGGCCTTGCCTCTTTTGTTACTGTAAGTGCATGGGTTTATTTCTGGGCTATGTATCCTGTTCACTGTGGGGCTAATTTTTGAACTTAAGCTCTACTGTGGTCTGTGGGAAATGCAAAAAGTTAATAATAAATAAAAACCACAATTAAATAGACTTGGGATACTGACAGGGGGCACTCTCACACCTTGTGAGGCTATCAGAGGCTGATAGGAAGACCAGTCTTCTTTCCAGAAGAAGGAAAGAAGACAAGGACTCAGCCAAAGAAAACCCATGGATTCTGTTTTTTACAGCCTTCCCAATGTCCTTTTCTTCTTAAAAGTGTTCTTCCCTTTGGTGGGGCGGCAGGAGCTTGTGTTGTTGTTCACATGATTGCAGACCCCAAATTGTAATTCTCTGCTGATCCTGGAATAAATCTATTTTTCCTGGAGAAATATGTGGCAGTCTAAGTTGTTTTAGGTCAACAGAAATAATGCCCTTCCTCTTCATTATTAAAGTTGTATGGATCCATATGGCACAGCACTTATGAGCAATGTTGGTGGACAGAAAGTGAAAGTGAATAAGTAGCTTAGTTGAGTTCAACTCTTTGCAACACCATGGCCTATACAGTTCATGGAATTCTCCAGGCCAGAATCCTGGAGTGGGTAGCTGTTCCCTAGAATCCTGGAGTGGATAGCTGTTTCCTTCTCCAGGGCATCTTCCCAAGCCAGGGATCTAACCCAGGTCTCCTGCATTGCAGGCGGATACTTTACCAGCTGAGTCACCAGGGAAACTGAGTTTAAGTCCTGGTTCTGCCATTAACATTTTGTGCAAGCTTGTTGTTTTTCAGTCACTAAGTCGTGTACAACTCTTTGTGACCTCATGGACTGCGATGAAGGAGGAAACAGACAGAACAGGCTCCATCTTGAAAGCAGGACTCCCATCTTGGACTGGACTGTGAACTTTGAGCTATATGCCCAGATCTATGGAAATGGCATACCAACTGGAAAACCCGACCCCCACCCCCTCAGCCAATGGAACAGCCCCAGGGCTCATACCTAGACTCGCTGTCGCCTCAAAGAATACCCTAATTATCTGTGTAACCAAATAGAATCATAAATTCTATTATGCTTATTGGGCTATGACCACAGGCCTATTGATAATTGTCCACTGTTAACTACCTAGGCTTAAGGCTTATGAATCACAGGTTAACTTTGATTGTATCTTTCTTTTTCTTTGTTGAGGCTAGTTTCAGGGAATGTGGGGAGGTGGGTTTGGGCACATACACTTAGGGTATATAAGGTTTTCACAATAACTGGTTAAGGTCCTTGGCTAAGAGGAGACTCTGCCTTGGGCCTGCTGGTGTAATAAACGACTCCACTATCTGCATTGTCCTTCTGAGTGAGTTTGTATCCTGAAATGCGTGACTACAGCAGCAGCACGCCAGGCTTCCTTGTCCTTCACTATCTCCTGCAATTTGCTCAAACTCATGTCCATTGAGATGGTGATGCCATCCAACCATTTCATTCTCTGTTGCCCCTTTCTCCTCCTGCCCTCAGTCACTCTTAGCATCAGGGTCTTTTCCAAGCTGAGACTATTATGTAGCCCATTTGTGCCTTAGTTTCTTTATCTGTAAAGTAGGGATATATTGGTTCCTACCTCAGAGATGTGGATGAATTAAATGTCAGAACTTGTAATAAAAGCACTGTAAAACAAAGAATGTTGCCCATCATCCAGCTGTACAAGGATCAAGTCATTAGTCACTGCAGTTGCTGACCTAAAAGGAATTGAGGATGAAGAACAGGATGATCCACTTAGTGCTTTGAGGAAACAGGCAAAACAAGCCATTAGATAATTAGATATATTTCAGGGAAAAAGCCTTTGACTGTGTGGATCACAATAAACTGTGGAAAACCCTGAAAGAGATGGGAATACCAGACCACCTGACCTGCCTCTTGATAAACCTGTATGCAGGTCAGGAAGCAACAGTTAGAACTGGACATGGAACAACAGACTGGCTCCAAACAGGAAAAGGAGTATGTCAAGGCTGTATATTGTCACCCTGCTTATTTAACTTATATTCAGAGTACATCATGAGAAATGCTGGGCTGGATGAAGCACAAGCTGGAATCAAGATTGCTGGGAGAAATATCAGTAACTTCAGATATGCAGATATGACACCACAGTCATGGCAGAAAGTGAAGAGGAACTAAAAAGCCTCTTGATGAAAGTGAAAGAGGAGAGTGAAAAAGTTGGCTTAAAACTCAACATTCAGAAAACTAAGATCATGGCATCTGGTCCCATCACTTCATGGTAAATAGATGGGGAAACTGGAAACAGAGGCTGACTTATTTTTCTGGGCTCCAAAATCACTGCCAATGTTACCGAAAGAATTGTGTGGTCCAGCTGCTTGCTACTCAAAAGCCAATAGACAGGCCAGGTTGGTGGAAGGGAAAGCTTATTTCAGATGCTGGTGACTAGGGTAGGGAGGGAGGTGGATGTCATTTTCCCCTTTTAATTGTAACTCCTTTCATAGGAAGTATTGATAATCAATATATTTTTCAGCGTTGCCAGAGTGGCTGTTTTGTCTGCTTTGTGTCCATTGATGTCTCTTAGTGCTAGATTTCCTGTTTATTTATCAGATATTGTGAACAGGCTCAGAGGTATGTTAATAGAGAAATGTTTTATAGACCATACATTTTATCATTTATATCTAATTGTCACACAAACATTGTACATGTGCTTTAAGCAGTAAATTTAAAGCCAGTAGTGCTACACATTATGAATGGTTATACTGTGTGAGAACTTTACTGGACAGTTTTTCCATCCTGAACATTAGGGTCAAAAATATGATTAGAAACAAAGCAATTAGTTTCCATTAGAAGTCTCTGTTACCAAAATCAGATCAATATTCCAGGAGACCTTTGTTTTCTTAACAGAGGGAAAAATTTAGTCTTGTATCAGTTTGTTCTTAATAACAAAATATATATACCTAATTAAATTTAGTCTAATTTTAATCCTGACAACATACAAAATTCTTTTCTTAAAGTTTCTTTTTTTTAATAAACTTTTTATCATTTTCTGGATCCAAACAAATTTATCCTTTATTTTCCTATCCAGAAACAAACAACTGTAGGGCAAAATTATTATTATTTTTCTTTAACAAAAATATCTCCATTTTTTTCCTATCTTCTCTTTGTCAACAACACACATCATAATTATTTTACACACAGACATGTTTTCCTTATCATTTTTAAATATTACAAGTTTTAACCTTTGAAACCTTAAAAAAATTAAGACACAAGTGATTGAAATGTTATGCCAGTATTTTTTGATTGGCAAACTAGAGAACATATTTAATAACCTCTGAAAACATCATTTTTTAATAGCTTTTTTTTTTTTTTTTTAGTGGTACAACATGTATGTTTAATAAACCCAAACAACTTTAGTTTCTCTTT